AGCAAAACGATATTATAAAAAAACCAACTATCCTAATTGTATAGGATCTATCGATGGCAAGCATATCCGTATTAGAAAACCACCAAAAAGTGGGTCTAACTATTTTAATTATAAGAAGTTCTTCTCAATTGTTCTGTTAGCCGTAGCAGATGCAAACTGTTCTTTTATAGCTATTGATGTAGGTGCTTGCGGACGAAATGCTGACAGTAATATATTTAAAGAAAGTGGTTTTGGCAAAAAATTGGCGTGTGGGTCTCTGAAGATTCCTAACTCAACTAAATTGCCTAATTCAAATGGATTGCCCCAACCTTTAGTGTTTCTTGGAGATGAGGCATTTGGATTACAAAAGCATATCTTGAGGCCTTTTCCTAATAAAAGTTTAAATAAGGAAGAGCGAATTTACAATTATCGTCATAGTCGAGCTAGGAGATGCGTGGAATGTGCATTCGGCATCCTAACAAGCAAATGGAGAGTTCTGCATACACCGATCGCTACTAATGTGAATACAACCATCGCTATCGTAAAAGCCGTTTGTATTTTACATAATTTTGTCATAGCAAGAGAACAAGCACAATATGCACATATTTCGCGACGTACCTCAACAACTCTTACAAGTTCAAGGAGCCAAATTATTACTGTATCAAATTCTGGAAAAACAACAAGAGAAAACTTTAAAAACTATTTTCTTAACGAAGGAAAGCTATCCTGGCAAGAGAAATATTTGTAAGTTGTAGCTACAGGAAGAAATAGTGTAACGGAGTGTGTAAAGCCGTAAATACTATGTAAATTATGATACTTTGTTTTATGTAGTGAGTGATACAAGTATATTGTTGAATAAATAATAAATTCATTAGAATGGAACTTACTTCTTTTTTGTTTAGTGTTTTCTTCTAAGTTTTGCCAATCATCGTATATAATTTCAGCGACTTCATTCCAATTGCTCTGCTTTAATACTCTGTTGCTGTATTCTTCACTCGACATGTTCCATATGCATGGTCTATTCTGTATTTCACTAATGAACCTTTCCGTATCAAAGGACATCTTGGATTTTCAGTGATGTGTGTGTGCGTTGAGATTAGTTAGGTGCGATGCAAAAAAACACGTCCTAACACGATGATAGCTTTTTTCCAACTATCCGAATAATCAGTTTGAGTCACTACGCCCGGCGAACAACCAATCGCCGCCGCCGACTGGAACCGGTTTTGGTGGGAGTCGGCCGCTCACTAAGATAGTCGGCGCGCGTAACGCTGCAAACTGCGTACAGTGAGCGCAAAACTAGCAAACTGTGAACACTCCATTTGAAATATATGGAAGGGCGTACTAAACCGATACGCCGCTAACTCAGTCGGCCGCTGACAGTTTGCTTACTGGGGACACAGCCTTAGGCTTCATCGGAAGCGATCGTCCCCCAGGGGGGGAGCGACGCAGAAAACAGATTTAGACAGCTCGCTCTCGGACCTTTGATACCCTACCGCTGCCGCGACCCGTGTCGAGCGCGGCAACCGTTACACAAAAATAATCCTTATAGCATGATTCAGTATTCACGTGCGACGGCGCGATGGCTTATTTCATGTATAAGTTTGGTGTTTCTATACCGAGTATTATAAACGTAAGAGTAAACAAATATGATCAGAATGCGCCGAACTGCTAAGCTATCGGGAGTTACACGTGTTATTGTGAGTCAACCATAAAAGATAGACATATTCTGTTGTGGGATATTTTTTAAACAATTTTATGTAGAATATTTCCGTCATACATGATTTCTATGTAACTTTAATCATTAAGGCTGCACACGCGACGGAAGCTTAAAAAATGGAGTAACTTCTCCCGTTTTCCCAACATTTCCCTTCACTACTCTGCTCCTACTGATTGTAGCGTGATGAAAAGTATACTATAACCTGCCCAGGAGTATGAAGAATAATTGTACCAAGTTTCGTTAAAATCCGTCGAGTAGTTTTTGTTTCTATAAGGAACAAACACACAGACAGACAGACAGACAGACAAAAAATTTACTGATTGCATTTTTGGCATCAGTATCGATCACTGATCACCCCCTGATAGTTATTTTTAAAATATATTTCATGTACAGAATTGACATCTCTACAGATTTATTATAAGTATAGATGTATTTATATATGTATATATTTGTGTGTACCTATTATATATGTTGCTAGAATGTATATTTATATATGTATGTATAAGTGATTAATGCTTTTTAATGTTTTCTCTGTTCGTTGTCTGCCGTTTTATTTTCTCTGCACCTTCTTTCCGGTTGACTGGTAGAGAATGCCATACTGGCATTAAGCCCGCCATTTGCATTGTAAAGGCAATAAAGATTAAATAAAATGTATTTTTTGTGGTAATAAGGCAAGATTTTCGGCGTTTTCGTACGTTACGTTCGTACGTTACGTTACGTTCGTAACTGGTTAGCTCGTGACAACGTCACCTGGTTTTGCCTCGACTGAGTCGTTCTGGAAATAATTGCAGGCAAATTTATCGCCTTCAGGTGCTCGCGAACTGGGCTATTTTTGTACGTACGTGATCCCCATCCGTGGGGGTAATCAGCTTCGGATGCGGATTTCGTTAAGTGGATCATAAGGAAAAAATATTTTAGGAATAACACGGGAGAAACGAAGCTTTTAAATTGTTATATATTCATTGTTGAAGTTTTTAACAGAGACCGTTTCTGAACTCAAATTGCTCTGCCGAGTTTCTTGTGTGATATTCCTCAATGTCATAATCTATATAGGTATATAAAACTGACTGACATAGTGATCTATCAACGCACAGCCCAAACCACTGGACGGATCGGGCTGAAATTTGGCATGCAGGTAGATGTTATGACGTAGGCTAAGAAAGGATTTTGATCAATTCTACCCCCAAGGCTATAAAATAGGGAATGAAGTTTGTATGAAACTTTGTCAATTTTAAACCGATCGGGCTGAGACTTTGCATGCAGGTATAAGAAGAATCATAGATGAATGTCATTGTGTATAATACAAGCCTGAGAACAAAAACTGTAGTCTACACTTCAGCTCTACACCGAAGCGAAGCGAGGGCGGGCCGTTAGTTAAATATAATATTCTACTTAATACTTTTCAATTTGGTAAAACTCATTATTCAATTACTGAAATTGTGTACTGAAACACTATTCAATGTGCGGAATAGGCATTATTTTGAATACATTTGGTTCGCAGCTACTGGGATCGAAAAAACCGTTTTTTTAATTATTCATATTTCTTTGCTATTCGCACATATATTTCCAACGCTTTTTATTCAACTTTATGAGAATCCTGACCTGACATATTGTTATGTTGTTAACTTACTGGAAGATAATGAATATGGTAATCGCGCCATAGTCTTGAATGTTGAGTCGTATCATATTTTAATAATCGTCAACGGAATTCTCACAGGTGGGAGGCAGGTAACTTTTTAATGTATGCCTGCTGGCACAAACCATCCTGTAGGAAACTATGGACGCGTGATACTCTCCCTTGTGGACGGCAATTTGTATTCATGGCTGTCCAAAGCAGCCATTTTATGAGCTGGGAATGACCAGTGAAAAGTTAATTTCAATATTGATAGCTTTGTAACGAACATAGCTTTTAATACTTAGGTATTAATAGCTTCTAATTGATTAAAACTGAGCACCATTTAGATATACATGACTTAATTATAGAATAGCTGATGTTTTTTTTAAGTCCATGTTATAAAATGATAGTAAAAATGTTTATAGATATAGAAGTACGATAGATTTTACGCAAATTATTTCTTTGTTTCTTAGGTTTTCACGCACATCAGTCATTAAATAAAACTATTTTTTACGGGTTAATGCACGAAACTTTATTTATTTATTGAGGTTTCGCAGCCTTTTCAGGTCTGCATCGTCAGAATACTGACTAGCAAATTATTCGCTTTTATTTTCGTATTATTACCTATTTTATTTTCGGCATTTGGCTCATTTCTAAGGATTGTATCATATTCCCCCTATCCAATAAAGTTTCTCATTTCTGGGAAAATCAGCGAAGTTTCGTGCCACAAACGCGGCATCATTCCAATTGGCACGTCTTTTGCTACCGGATATCTCTCAAATGCTGTATTTAAGTGAATTAATGTTAAAATATTTCTTGACATCAAGATCGCTAAAATTAATGTAATAATCCAATAAAACATTGTTAACAATAAAAAAAACAACTTTTTGTTTGAAATTGACAAAACCGTTATTGAAAGACAGATTCGAGTATTCTATTAAATTATTTTGAACGGATTTGATTAATACGAGTATAATACATTACATTTCTAAGAGGGTAGGGCAAAGTGGATTTTCCGCTCGAATTGGAGCACCCATATGAGGAACTAACCCCCTAACCCTTACCCTAACCTTACAGAATACTACAGGAAAATAACACTACCTTTTGGGGATGCTGTGATTCTGTTAGTCAATAAGCTTCCAGGGCTGCACGGGGTCGGGAATTGGGTCAGGGTAGGTAATGATGCGAGTGATGTATTTGGCATCGTAAGCGTCTATATAGGCTACTATGGTGGTCGTTTACCATCAGGCGGGCCATACGTTAATTTGACACCCTTTTAGCATAAAAAAACAACTTTTAAGTATCCAACAGCAATTCTTTTTACGAATACTTATAAATGTGGAATCAAAGAAATGGTAATCAAGTAAAATAGTAGAGACAATGGCCCTTGGAGCCCTGCTTTCTTAAGGATATGACTGCTCGCCTGTGCGAGGCTACGGGGGACCCAAGATCTGGTAGCTTTTTTGCTCAACGAATTAGTTTGGCGATACAGCGAGGCAACGCTGCCAGTCTTCTGGGGACCGTGCCCCGCACAGGCGAACTCAATGAAACATTTAATTTGTAATTATTGTTGTACCTTTTGTTGACATTAATAACTTATATAAATTTAAAAACAATAAAAAAAGAAAAAAAGGTAAAATAGTTGTGTTAGTAATTGCATTTGATTAATCTTTATAAATTTTGTTACAGATGATACTTATAAAGTGATAGAAGCATCTACGAACGAGCGGCTGCGACTTATTTGCGGGCTGAAGATGAATGGTCAGTCGCTGCTCTGGTACAAGGATGGCCAGTACATCAATAGTCTACTGAAACCCAAATTGGTGCAGCAGAAACAATGGTTAGTCCTGCTAATAATATAAAATCTGCCCGTAACGCATGCATTAGAGATAATCTTAAGGAAAGTACAGTAAGCAATAATTCTAGCTTCTCTAAACCTTAATTAGACAGCAGTCTATCATTTTCATTTATTTCTAGAGCATTAAAAGCATCTAGTACTTTTAAATTTTATAATAATAATAGCAAGTATTTATTTGCTCCAAAAAATTTAAATACAAAAACTTAAAATCTGACATACCAACTTTTTTAGGAACAAAAAGGGAATGTGACTCAGCCTTAGACCGCCGTTTTATCGGAACTCGCTGATATTCTGCCACAACGTTATTTAACTAAAACATGCTCCATTTTGTGATACCAACAAGTTACACTTTGAAAATCGATTAAAAAATTAATACATCCATTATTAAATATCTAAATTAAATACAGTTTTGGCCGCAGTATACTGTTTATCTTATAACCACAAATTACATATATTTTTAAAATTATATGTTGACATGTTGGTCCGCAAAGGTGGTGGGAGATCATTCCATATCTTTGATGCGGCATATACAAAGCAACCCCTAGTTACAATATTTTTGCATTTTGGTAGTGATAGGAAAGGTCTCTCAAATTTGAACGACGTTTCTTCCATTGAAGTTTTTTATGTAAATATGAGGAGCTCGATGGCGCAAGTGGTTAGCGCGTTCGGCTGCAATCGTTGAACTTAAGCAACTTTCGCAGTGGTCGGTCATTGGATGGGTGACCATAAATTACTATCTCAAGCTCCTTCGTGCTTCGGAAGGCACGTTAAGCCGTTGGTCCCGGCTGCATCTGCAGTCGTTAACACCCACCAATCCGCACTGTTTTAAGTGCATGTGCTATACTTACAATATAGATTGATTTTAATACTAGTTAATTCTCCGTAGTTTTTTAGTAGTTTTTTTAATAGTAGGTACATTTAAATATGCTTTACATACCTCTCCGTCATCTACGTCTCCGTCTTCAATGAGGTCTTTTTTGGTTAAGCTAATTGAGTTGCAAACGTCTTAATGTAAATTCCGACTAAAATTAACATCTGACTTGAATTAGCAAACGATCCCTTGCATTCAAACGCCGACAATATTTACGTTTCTATCCAGAACTGAGAATACAGACGATAATTCAAATGCAACGGTCGTGCATTCGAGGCCTCTCATAACAAACTGCCCATCAGAATAACGTATCAAATCAATCATGCTATATTGGAGATTGCGAACTATCGTCGAAATAACTCGAGTTACTGGGATTGCTCGAGGTCTCATTTTAGAATGTTGTTATGAAATTATAATATATTTCAAAGATCTATCTGGAATGTAAAACTTATCCTACAGAAAGATTTGAAATTGGTAATGCTGTGAATTTTCATCTTGTGTCCGCTATTTAGTCGATATTTTTTTATCCTTACCGGCAGTAGGTCGAGAAACGAAAATGTAAAACTGATGCTAGAAAAACTTTTCTTAGCAAACCATTAAGGGAAATCTATAATATTGTCCTTCGTTTTATATTATCAAAACCCTTATATTAATTTCATCTTGATTTGCATAAATTACAGGTTACGAATAAGAGGTTTCCAATCAAAGGACGCCGGTGTATATTCCTGCCAACACGCTGAAGACAGAAGTAGAAGCTTGAACGTAACCATTAAACACAAACGTGATAAAAACTACGAAGTTCTAGAAGGTATTACTGTTTTGAATAAATATGTGCAATTAGAATTGTATTTTAGAAATTATGGTAAAATAGAAATCAGAGTAACTAGTTTTTATTTGAATGAATTTATTTTTAGTTTGATATAAGTATTTAGTTTATTTAGTAGTTTTAATCCATTTTGTGCTTTTAAATAATATATTATTTAAGGAACTTTAGCTATTACTTAGTTTATTTTTAAATCTGAATTAATATGTCTGAAACCTTTACATTTGAACCATTTTCTTTGATACGTATGTAATCTAAATATTTCAATGAATTTATTGATCATTATATCGCTATTTTTGTAATTAAAAAGTTAACCTACTTAAATTATGGGTATAGAGTAAAAGAACACACTAAACTATTTTCAGATTAATGTGCGTATTTTCTGTTTCTGAGATGTTTTGATTAGACATTTTTATTGACATGTTTATTACCAAACAGCCAAAAGATTGTGGCCGTGCGAATATTGTTTATGCCGTTGGTCACCCACATCACTTATATTTTTGGAAGACTCATGCACTTATGTCGTGTCAACAGTTCCAGTAACTTCCTGCCTTAAATCACTCCAATAAAATAAATTTCATTGAGATAATAAAGAAAATGCAAAATAAGAACGATTTTATCATAATGTTGTTGGTGTAAATTGAGGATTTTATTTGAGACCATAATTTTTACTTCATTGAAGCTGGCGTATAAGGGTGTATGTTAAGCTAAGATAATTATTGTTTACATTGTTAACACAAATAATGTTATTTTATCTCCAGAATATCAAGCCGACATTGACATCGACAGACCAATGCCAGAGATACTATCCCAACATCAAGCACTTGCATTAGAGAATAACACTATAGAAGAAAAGAAAACGACAACAGAAAGGATATTTCATAGAAGTAACAGAAACGACACTACAAAAGATGAAGACCCAGACGATAGAAGCGAGAAAGATCATCCTAATTACGGATACGTAGATAGTAATATAAAGAAATTCCCACCGAAATTTAAACATCCTTTGAAGTTGTACAAAAACGAAATGAAACCTGCCGGGAGTTCCCTTAGATTTAAATGCGCTGCCGAAGGTATTAAGAATTTTCTATTTTTTATAATTCTTTACCCCGACCAACCGAATGTACTTTTTAATTTTTTTATGTGTATTTTTATACGATTTATATCAATGTCAACAGAATACAAAGTTATAAAATACTATTTCAGAACATACATTTTAATCTCATCTTGATATTATGTCTTTTCTGAAAGAAAGTCTTTCTAACTACAAAATACTTTTATTTTACGAAAGCGTTATAAAAGCGTAAAGTCTTCATGAGCTTTATAAAAATATTATAAGAATGATGACCCTTTAACAAAAATATAGTGACTTCTGAATTAATGACATATTAATCAACGAAAATATTCTGGAAGCATTTTAGAATACCGTAAATTTCTAGGTAACCCAACTCCGAATATAACATGGCAGAAGAACGGGGGTCCAGTGTACAGGAGTTACTTCCAACCTTCATATGGCAAGTGGTCCATCGGGCTAGATGAACTCACAAAGACTGACAATGGCAACTATACTTGCATCGTCTGCAACGAGCTGGGCTGCATCAACCATACCTTTGTTTTGAACGTTCAAGGTAATTATTATTTTATTACTTACCACTTTTATGACGCCCCTTAATTAGTCAGAGGAATGATTTCTTAATGCTAAACCAAGCTCTGTGTCTTCAATCACTTATTAAGTAATAAATATATTTTGGCGAGTTTGTGAAGAAATTGTCTCACTTGAACTTCTAAGAATAAATACAAACAATTAATGTATATTTAATAATTATGTAATGAAAGGTGACTTCATGAATCATCTCTGAAGTCATTTTTCAATTTGACGATTCTGTAAATAATAAAACAGGGAGAAAAAAACAGCCCTTGCTGAGTTTCTTACCGGGTCTTCTCAGTACAAGGTCTCCCGCCGTAGATTTACGAACCGATGGCGTCATGAGTGCTTGTAACAGCCTAAACTGAATAAATGATTTTGATTGATGATCGATTGATACATGTATGTATTTATTTGCAAAATTTAAAAAAATATATCGCGAATAACGCTTTTGTTACATTTTCAATTTCAAAATGGACGGTGCTTTGTAACAGAAACATTCCAATTTGGCATAAAACAATCGATAGTACATTCACAAGATAACTACCGGAAATACCGATCGCCTTCGAATATTTGTTTCAATATTCTTTTGGTTGCCAATATCTTATTGATATTTATAGCTCATAGTCTCGAATTGAATGAGAGTCATCAAAATAGGTAATATTGTTTAGAGCGGTATCCATCGGTGCCGTACATAAAAGAGGGTTATCCGGGGAACATCACGGTGTTGGTAAACGATACGGTGCAGCTGGCGTGCCCGCCTATCTCTGACCTGGAGCCGATGGTGATCTGGCGGCGGTCTGCCAATCAGACCTTGCTGGACGAAGACGGGAAACCGACCAATAAGACCGTATTAGTGGAGACACTCGTTGAGGTTGATATTCGTATATCTACTCTGGTGACAGATTTAGATTGTAGGGATCGGTGCAAACAACAATTATCTGAAAACATAATATTGTCTGATTAGGCTGTTACCATAAAGATGTCGGGTGATAACAAAGTTTATGAATTTACAACGTCAGATGCTATAATTTCAGATTAATTTTATTGAAAGTGCGCAAGTTAAATAGTAAGTTGATTGATCGGGAATTTCCCTATGCTTCTCAGGTCCTGAGAACCGTAAAATAAAGTTGGCGCGTAACCTGGTCAGTTATCTCTACTGACATATTATGTTGTCTTAAGATGTCTGATTACTGTCCGATATTCATCCTTAGGTGGATCCAAATCTAAAGAAAGTGACTGTACATGTTTAAAATTACAATAAGCCCAACTATTTTACGCCATGCTTCTATTCATCAGAGATTTATTTACCCCCTATTGACGAATAAAATATCTGTTATACAAATCTGCTATCGGAAATAATGAGTCGGCTTCATCCATGGTAACGGCCAAATTAGTGAGAATAATGTTTTAGATATTGTTGTTTTGGGTATTGTGTTATTACCTTAGTGTAGCTGTACAATATGTAGGTCGATGACTAAAATTTGGTTGAAAGGGACCTTAACAGTATTAAATTTGTAACTGTATATAAAAATAGAACACGTTTCTAATTGGTGACGGTTAATGGTGGTGGTAATTATAATAAGTTCTTGTGGTTCTTTAAATAATTTCTCAGTGTTATAGAAATATGTATTTTGAATAATAGCCTTTTTGATATTTAACATCGAATGGATCTTTAATCCTTGGTATTAATTAAATAATTTTTAATCTTTGATCTTTTCGTGTCTGATACTTAGCCCACACCTGCGTGACCAAGTTCTCGTGTCTTTGGTACTCAAAAGCGCCAAAATTAGTTTCCAAACTTTGAAAATAAGTACGCTCCTTCAGTTGCACATACAAATTTATCGGTTTCCACAACCTCTTTTAGCGTGGCAAATTATCGCCAGTCAAGTTATCGTCTAGTTTCTATTAACACGCAGCCCGCTTAATCATTCATTCAAATTTTCAACGCTAATTTTATCGCATTTAGTGCCAAAGCTTTGGCGCGCAGCTGTGGGAAAAGCATTAAATAGATATTTCGCAGATTGTTTCATTGTCATTCACTGCAATCACGAAAAGTAACTTACTGGAATTATTCTTCACTCAAAATATTTGTAAACCAAAAACTTTCACACTTTGAGCTATAGAAGCGCAATCAACGCTCAACCAACACCATGGTTTCTCGATGTTAACACCTCAACATTTTATAGAACGGCTATACGCCAAACCGGTGCTAACACAAGGAGCAGAGAATCAGACCAAACTCGTTGGGGAAACGGCCAGGTTTATCTGCGAGTTCCTCACCGACATGCACCCCTATATCTACTGGATGTTCTTCAATAAATACGAGTATATTTACGGGGATACCGAGTACGAAGATGACGGGAAGGAGTCCATGATCCATGCGGATGCTAACAAAATCATCGTGGTGAGGGTTGTCCGCTAACTTGGGTTTTGCATGTAAAGCTTTTCATGTTGCATGATAGTTTTATGCTATTCATAAGCTATTAGAAACATAAGTTTATTTGCATTCATTTATCATAGCATGGACCAAACCCTTTTTTTATATATTCACAATGCTAAGTTTTGGTTAAATACAGTTCTTTTTTAATTTGAAGAAGTATAATCTTCTTAACATTTCTTAAATTATATTGTTTTTTCCACGAACAAGAATCATGTTAATTAAAAATGCATATAATTTTGTAATGTTTTCTGTAAACCATTATAAAGATACTTATGGAATTTATTAAATGGTTATTTGCATATTTTTTACTTTTGCACGATCAAGAATGAATTAAAATGTTTCAAGACATATGGTTCAACTTAAGAATGTAAAGTGTTTTGTGAAATTTTGTTTGTAAGGGCAGTACACACATATTTGGGCCGGCATTAATGGCCGGCGAATGTGTTGATGACTACACGGTAGTAATTACTACGGGTTGGCAAATACTGCCAGCCCGATATTTGTGTACCTACCCTAAGCGAGTGTGAGCTTTGTTTGAGTTTGAGAGTTATGTTTACGTTTCTTTTATCAAGAAGCAAAATAATTAAATTAAATCATAATTTGAAATTGCAGAGTGATAATTCGACAGACAAACCTGAACAACTAACTATACATAATGTTACAAAAGAAGATGAGGGTTGGTATGTTTGCGTGGCAATCAATAGCTTAGGAAATACGACGGCGAAAGGATATCTCACTGTCTTAGAATGTAAGTATTTAAATACAAATTCTCATATCAAAGTAATACGTTCAATTTTGTAAGGGTAGTATTATCAACAAGAAAAAACGGAAAAGAGTTCTTTAATAGAGTTTCTGCAGAAAGAGAATAAGATTTAGATTGGAGGGCGCTGTAGTGCTTTTCTATCGTATTTGTAAGGTTTTACCCCTTTTAGACATGATTAAATACAAAAAACCGCAAGAAATCACAACAACAAACAAATCCGTATCAATACAAAACTTTGACGTTTTACAGATTGCTGGGTTTGATTGCCAAATAAAAATCTTAATGTTAGTTCCGTTTTTCGCCACGCCTATTCTCTTTCTGCACAGACTCTACTATACAACATAAAGAAAAAAGTAGTAATTCGTTTGCTGGTAAAAATATCGTTAATAATACACAATCGTAACATTCAGAAGATTAAGATAACTTCAATATTTGTACTGAACTTTTTTCTACTTTGTAGTTTAAAATAGACCCAACTTATCATACTTCCAGCTTTGCCACCCGAAAAGGAGCCGATGGAGTATGGGAAGCACACTCTTCTGATCAACATACTGACAGCAGTGCTTGGCGCGATGTTTTTTGTCGCGGCCATTATTGTTGTGATGATATTCAAGAAGTTGAAGAGAGAGAAGATAAAAAAGCAGCTGGCGATAGAGACGGCACGGGCGGTGATCGTGACTCACTGGACGAAGAAAGTGACAGTGGAGAAGCCCCAGCTCAATGGTGTCACTGCCGAGCCTACAGACGGACTGGTGAATAAACATGTATTAGATAAGGAATAGACATCATTAAAATAAAAAAATATAAGATATAGACATAAATTGTGGTAAACTTGGTTTAAATTTTGATGCGTGTATAAAAAGGTATATCAAGCAAAGTTTCCAAATAAATATATACGAAGAAATAAGAAATTTAAACTTTATTAGATTCTCTGATTTTAATTTTAACTATATAATTATTATTTGCATGCCAATTAAAATGGTTACATAGGTTTAAGCCTGTCTAAATATATCCTATTTGTGGTAAATGAATAATTTCAAATGATCATTTTACGTAAAAACAAATATCATTTATAATCTATTCAATTTTATTTTCCGATATTCTAGCATTGTCCTAAGTCCACCATCGCGTAGTAAACTACATAAATGTATACCGATTAATAATTGTTTTTCCAGCTGATGCCAGTGGTGAAGATAGAGAAGCAGAAGCTATCGCAAGTGCAGGGCAACACCGCGGAGTCGATGATGTCGGAGTACGAGCTGCCCGTGGACGTGGAGTGGGAGGTGGCGCGCGCGGGGCTGGCGCTGGGGACGGTGCTCGGGGAGGGGGAGTTCGGGAAGGTGGTGAAGGCGCAGTGCGTCGGCATCCTCAAGCCCGGCCAGAGCTCCGTGGTCGCCGTCAAGATGCTCAAAGGTAATCATACTCATAGCACTCATACTGACGACCTTGCTCAGGGAGGGGGAGTTCGGGAAGGTGGTGGTGAAGGCGCAGTGCGTCGGCATCCTCAAGCCCGGCCAGAGCTCCGTGGTCGCCGTCAAGATGCTCAAAGGTATTCATACTCATAACACTCATACTAACGACCTTGCTCAGGGAGGGGGAGTTCGGGAAGGTGGTGAAGGCGCAGTGCGTCGGCATCCTCAAGCCCGGCCAGAGCTCCGTGGTCGCCGTCAAGATGCTCAAAGGTAATCATACTCATAGCACTCATACTGACGACCTTGCTCAGGGAGGGGGAGTTCGGGAAGGTGGTGGTGAAGGCGCAGTGCGTCGGCATCCTCAAGCCCGGCCAGAGCTCCGTGGTCGCCGTCAAGATGCTCAAAGGTATTCATACTCATAACACTCATACTAACGACCTTGCTCAGGGAGGGGGAGTTCGGGAAGGTGGTGAAGGCGCAGTGCGTCGGCATCCTCAAGCCCGGCCAGAGCTCCGTGGTCGCCGTCAAGATGCTCAAAGGTATTCATACTCATAACACTCATACTAACGACCTTGCTCGGGGAGGGGGAGTTCGGGAAGGTGGTGAAGGCGCAGTGCGTCGGCATCCTCAAGCCCGGCTAGAGCTCCGTGGTCGCCGTCAAGATGCTCAAAGGTAATCATTCTCATAGCACTGATACTGACGACCTAGCTCGGGGAGGGGGAGTTCGGGAAGGTGGTGAAGGCGCAGTGCGTCGGCATCCTCAAGCCCGGCCAGAGCTCCGTGGTCGCCGTCAAGATGCTCAAAGGTAATCATACTGATAGCCAAAATTTACCTTGTTATAACCCAACTAGAAGATTTTCGGCAAAATGGTAAAACTGGAAAACTTTCCTAGTGTGGTATCCTCCATATTAACAAGAATGGCATATACATCTCCCCCCTACTAATGTTGTATTTCTAGAGCTTAATCAGGTAAGAAAGAAGGTTAGGATAGAAACGTTACTTGTGTATTTTATGATAATACCAGTCCAGCTATGGTGGCGATTACAATAAGCTAACAAATAATTATGCCCTATCTCTTTGACATTAGAAGAAAACTCTTCTATCATAGCAAATATCTATTTGGAAAATGGCCTCATACCTTTTAGTTATATACTTTTTTAAGGTGATGGTGATTCATCTAAAAAAGTATAAATACTCACAATATTCTTACCTACTTATTACTAGTAAATTTCCTAACGAACTGGAAGTCACATCATTATTGACCATAAAACTGTTTATCACCAGAGGGCCACACGGACGCGGAGATGATGGCCCTCGTCTCCGAGATGGAGATGATGAAGATGATCGGCAAGCACGTGAACATCATCAACCTACTGGGCTGCTGCACGCAGGACGGGCCGCTCTACGTCATCGTGGAGTACGCGCCCAACGGGAACCTTAGGGAGTTCCTGAGGAACCATCGCCCTGGGAACAGGTACGATTACCTATTTATATCATCATTATCATCAGCATTTTAATGTCCTCACTGCTGGGGCCTTCCTTATGGATGAAATAGGGAGATTAGACCATGACCCACCACGCGGGCACTGTGCAGACTGGTTAATTTAACTTTGATTATTAAGATACAATCAGAGAATTCGATTCATTAATCTTGGAAACGACAGAGAATCCTCAGGAACTACCGCCCTGGAAATGTCACCTAGACATTAACTTTACAGATAAATGACCACTTGCAAAAATCAAACTCCAATAAGAGCTACCCTTATAAGAGCTTTGGAGCTTTGTTGCCTAGATATTTTTATTATTTAGTTTATAACAACATCTGTTGTTAAGAAACGGATTCAAATTATCCCGATCCTTTACTGGAGGCTGAATATTGAAATTGGCCGTTAATTTGATTCATAAAACTTGGGAACTTCAGGGAGTCCTCAGAAACTACCGCCATGGACACAGGTCCAATTAGCTTTATAGATACAATGAAATAAGTTGATTTATTTCACCGTTCCTTAAGTTGCCTCCTTCCAACAATCTGAGGTCATTTAAAAGAGGCATGAAGAAGCATTTCTGCGTCCGGCAAGGTGAGCATGGTTGGTGTGGCAGTTTAAAACTGCTGCATCAGTTATCTTCGACTTAATCACCACTTAACATCAGGTGGGATAGAGTCATTTGCCTACCTAGTTTTAAAAAAACCTTAAACATATGATCTAAATCCGCCGGGACAACGGAAAGCGCTGAATCAGCCAGACATTTGAACCAAAAGAATTTCTGCAAGCAAACAATTAAATATTTTCAAAATTGAAATCCTAGAGAGCGCACAGTTATCCAACATTAAGCAACAAGATATAGGGCTAAAATAAAAATAAAAACAGTTTTATACAACGTGCATTCCCGCCGGACGATGAATTTTGTTTATATTTTTCTAGATACGAATCAGACATACAATCACCAAATGAGAAGAAGATACTAACACAAAAAGATCTCGTCTCATTCTCCTACCAAGTTGCGAGAGGGATGGAGTACCTGGCATCAAGAAGAGTGAGTGCGGTTTATTTCTTTATAATATTTTCTATTCAGTCATTTGCAAAATTACGGATAAAGACAACATTAATATCTTCATTTCACAATCAATTTTGAAAATTTCAAACTAGTTCCATCCCAAACTATGATGTCAAATCGACACTGTCATTGTCACTTTTTGAAAGGGTAAAATCTAGCTTTAGTTAAATCGAGATTTAGCAAATTTGCTGCAAGCTCCTGTTCTAAGAGCAAGCATTAGGAAACGAGTGATTTATTCTCTTCTGTCACAGTGCATCCATCGCGATCTGGCGGCGCGCAACGTGCTCGTGTCCGACGAGTTCGTGCTGAAGATCGCGGACTTCGGGCTCGCGAAGGACGTGCAGAGCCACGACTACTACCGCAAGCGGACCGAGGGCCGCCTGCCCGTGCGCTGGATGGCACCAGAGTCGCTGTACCACAAGCTGTTCACTACGCAGACTGATGTGTCAGTACTTTAACCTCATCATCAGCCTATTAATGTCCCCACTGCTGGGGCACCGGCCTTCCCTATGGATGGAATGGGGAGATTGGGCCATAACCCACCGCGCGGGCTCAGTGCGGGCTGGTGGGTGCTAACGACTGCAGATGCAGCCGGGACCGACGGCTTAACGTGCCTTCCGAAGCACGGAGGAGCTCGAGATAGTAAATTTTTGGTCACCCATTGAATTACCGACCACTGCGTAAGTTGCTTTAATTCAACGATCGCAGCGGAACGCGCTAACCACTTGCGCCATCGAGCTCCTCAACCTCAGTAACGTCGGTCTTAGTTAACTCAGAGAGATAAGGGTTTATGTGGGACGTCTTTGCGTGGAGTATCCGGCCCCCCACGGCAACGGTAACTAGAGCCGAGGACTCGGATCTCAGAGAAGCCCTCTAGTTGAGCCGACCCCCTCAGGTTGGAGTAGTCTAGGGGCTTCAGACGGAGAGGAGACTCCCCCCGTGGGGAGATGCCATCCGCCTGGAATACCTCTAGAGGTATTCTCCAATTCTCGGCTTGAGGTCCCCTTAGGATCTCGCCGTCCCCAAACCCGGTGACGCTGTAAAGGTTATCTGCGACCAACAGGATACACACTCAAAAAATAAAAGCAGTATCAGGTCTTTTTTGGTCTGGGTAATCCTTACGCATCCTTTCAACCATCGGAGCAGTAAGAAGAAGGTATCTCGAACTCCTATCTGCTCATTTAAGCAAGTCCTGGGGCTGGAAATGATCAGGGCTATACCAAACGTCCTAAACAAAGCCAATTAAAACCGAACAATACTGCTGCAGCGTTCATCCGACACGCAATTAAACCAGAACGACGCTCGGGGACCTCCCAGCTAATACTTCTTCGTTTCCAGTAGTGATAGTGTGACCTTTTATTGGAAAACAACCACACCGGGTAACATGACAGTACTGCCCATTTCACAATCCACGTCAATGAAGAGAGCCAGGTCAGAGTGAAGCGTCGCACACACATTGACGTTTTTAAGCATTCTCAAAAAGTTCCAGAAACTTTTCGTAGGACGAGGTAGCTCTATAGCTACCTCGTCGTGTTGCTCTTACACATATATTCCAAATTTAGATAATTATTTTAATAAAGGACCATAAAAATGCGGAAGGGTGGGTGCTTACAAGCTAAGCGATTTTGCAACGGCTGGTCAACAATAAGTCTATATGTATAAAACTCAAAGGGGACTGACTGACATAGTGATCTATCAACGCACAGCCCAAACCACTGGACGGATCGGGCTGAAATTTGGCATGCAGGTAGATGTTATGACGTAGGCATCCGCTAAGAAAGGATTTTGATCAATTCTACCCCCAAGGGGATAAAATAGGGAATGAAAGTTTGTATGAAACTTTGTCAATTTTAAACCGATCGGGCTGAGACTTTGCACGCAGGTATAAGAAGAATCATAGATGAATGTCATTGTGTATAATACAAGCCTGAGAACAAAAACTGTAGACTACACTTCAGCTCTACACCGAAGCGAAGCGAGGGCAGCCGCTAGTGACCAATAAATTCTTCTCTGTTATTTGCAAGGCACGTTAAGCCGTCGTCGGTCCCGGCATGTGTGGTGGTCTGAGCTTGTGTCGTGACTCACTATTAGTTCTACCCAATAGTCATGTGCCCCAGAAGTGGGGACATAAATAGGCTGATGATGATGAGGGTTTGTTGACAACAGATGGTCGTTCGGCGTACTGCTGTGGGAGATCATGACGCTGGGCGGCACGCCGTACCCCAGCGTGCCCGGTCAGTACATGTACCAACACCTCAGCGCTGGACATCGGATGGAGAAGCCGCCCGGGTGCAGTTTGGAGATGTGAGTACAATGTCCACTGTCGCGTTAGTTTTTTTAATAATAAAAGTGTACAGCTTTCAGCAAACAGAATATCTTTATATATATAATTCTTCTGTGAGTGTGTATGTCACTGAACTTCTCTTAAACGACTAGACCGATTTTGATGAAATTTTTTGTGTTGCGGACAAAATTGTGAATCTAAACCATTCTCAGATCCCCTTGAACACATACAAAAAATTTCATCAAAATCGGTCCAGTCGTTTAAGAGAAGTTCAGTGACATACACACTCACAGAAGAATTATATATATAAAGATATATATAATATATATATATATATATGTATATATATTAAACTCAAAGGTGACTGACTGACAAAGTGATTTGGCATGCAGGTAGATGTTATGACGTAGGCATCAGCTAAGAAAGGATTTTGATCAATTCTCCCCCCAAGGGGATAAAATAGGGAATGAAAGTTAGTATGAAACTTTGTCAATTTTAAACCGATCGGGCTGAGACTTTGCATGCAGGTATAAGAAGAATCATAGATGAATGTCATTGTGTGTATAATACAAGCCTGACAACAAAAACTGTAGTCTACACTTCAGCTCTACACCGAAGCGAAGCGAGGGCAGCCGCTAGTAGCCTATAAATCTTGTGGTGCTTTGTCATCTTTGGTTACTCCTATTAGTAATCGTAGTTATGTTTTCACCTAGATATAAAAACATGTTATTTTATTAAATATCCAAATATTTTTTTATAGCGTTCATAGTTAGGTACCGTAGTTCTCTCTCTTTTAATATTATTAATGCCCAGTTATCTTAACAATAATCTGTCACTCCCTAATTAAATTTTTGGGCTTTAAGGGTTTGCCGCCCATATGGCTCGTTCTTAGATAAACGGGCGTCATAGTCGAAAGACGCTTGCCATGTTAGAAATATTACATGCACCTTTGCTTACCATGATCCCATAGTACCGGAACCTTATTCAGTGACAAAAACAAAACACACGAACTAGTAGCGTAGCTTGTCACTTTCCCAAATGGGCGTTATGATAGGGATGATGACAAATTTTTTTCGTTTATCAGGTAGGTTATCAAAAAGTAGTGGACACGTATTTTTTCTTTTTTCACATAATATAAACATTGCAGAGATATATTGATTTGAAAAGTCGCATGACGTCACGTTTTGGTACACTTTTAAGTGAAAATTCACTAAAAAGTGACGTCACGAGCCCCTACTCCCAAACTTTGACGCGCTATAACTTTTTGAAGTTATACTTCTTTAGCCGCGTTATGAAAAAATTATGAGAGTGAAATTTTAAGATGCGCGCGCATCACTGTAACAGAAAAGTAACATGAAGTCGGCCGCTAAACCGCACATTATCGTAAGTCTCGAAAAAAAGCTTCCAACAAAATAGTAATAGGATCTCTTAGTCGCACATGTTGGGACGCTCGTCGCTTCTGATCACTGTTTTCATATTTATAATATTTATCCACATGTTTCTAGTTTCTATATTCTTAACACGTGTTATAATGTTATACAAATGCGAAATTTATATGTGCTAATAAATTTTATTCAGTAGTGATTTAAATTGAATATTTTGATTATTTATTAAATATTTCAAATTAAAACTGAACTTTATTGACTGCGTTGACTATCCTTTTCCAATCCTTTTATTATCTTATTGTAATTAATTATCTGCATGCAATTAAAAACTATTTTTTAATAATTTCAAAAAGAAATATAACTTCTCACGCGCGTACTTAAATACACGCACCCATATTTTTTTTGGTTGATTGCCCAAAGAAAAAATACGTGTCCATTATTGTTTGATCATCTAACTGACGGACTAAATAGAATTTCGTTTACTGTACCCCGTCATCACCCCTATTGTACATCTCGTAACCATTTAAGAACGGTTGTATTTATGATTTAGCTACATGCTGATGCGCGAGTGCTGGTCGTTCGCGCCGGGGGACCGGCCGTCGTTCACGGAGCTGGTGGAGGACCTCGACAAGCTGCTGACGGTGGCCGCCAACCAGCAGTACCTCGACCTCGGCCTGCCCGCGCTGCACACGCCGCCCTCCTCCTACGACGGCTCCGACGACAGCGACGCAGACCTGCCCTTCATCAAGTGACGCGCCTCGCCTGCGCTGCATCGAGTGACCTGCTCTACATCAAGTTAACTGACGGTCTGTAGCCCTCACCCTGCCTTGCGTCGAGTGCCCGCGTCTAAACTGCTACACTAGTGACCTTGTGTTCCAGCTTCCAAACGGAAGCTCTTCATCGAGCGACCTGCTCGCCGACTACCAACTGACTTTATGCCTCCAGCTATCGCACTAGCTAGGTATTTTGCCCATCATCGAGTGACCTGATTGCCAACTACCAACTGATTTTATGCCTCCAGCACTAGTAGCTACGTATTTTGCCTTTCATCGAGTGACCTGGGCTAAAACTGCAGTACTCGTGCCCTTCGTTAAATGACCGAGTCTATGTCCACATCTTCGATTATCACCATCCGTTTAGTCTCCTTTCACTATATTTTTGTAATTTTCAGCGAGTAAAAATTATCTTTTTCTAGATCAGGTTTGAACACAACTTATAATATAGTCACTATGAACTCTACAAGTTGTGCAGCCGGAATGGTTTTCGTTTTCGAAAATAGCTTCCTGTCGGTCCTTTATCAAAAGATAAGTGCCATTCAATGGTTATAAAGAGATATTAAACAAATCTTCATATCATACGAGATTGTGGATTGGATAATTCCTGCGTAGTTCCAGATAATAATAACGGCGGTTTTATTTTTAGACGGAACTGTGAGCCGCGTTTTGAGTCTAAAGTAAACTGTGAGTTTGAATCTCCGGAAATAAAAGTTAAGACAATGGATTATGATTGTGTTAAAAAAATAATCAAGTGTATATAGTGAGTTTTAAGTGAACGTGTCTTGGGTACTGTTGTGAATAATACATTAATTGAAATGAATTATTTTGGTTTATTCAAATAGCGATGTCATTACAATCGCTTGATGTAATATGAAGAAGGTAATTCGTGTGTCGTATTTTTATTATTTTAGTTTAAACTGCATTCATAATAAAACAATATTTTTCCCACCTTATTAGCTGTGCGTGTCTTAATATTATGTAGCGAAGGAAAGAATAAATGATTGACTAATATTTTTGGTGACTGAACTGAATGTATTTAGAGAGCATTACGTAGTTAGGGTAATTAAAGTATTTTTCAATGATGCTCATAAAATAATATTGTCACAAAAATTTAGTCTTAGACACAATTCAAATAATACTTGTTATCAATTATATGTAGAGTGATTGTTAAAAAAATATAAAATTCTAATTATACATCGAAATTAAGAGTTCATAATGCACAAACTCATTGTTTGAGAATATAACTTTTGTGTGAAACAGTGAGTTCAATAATGAGTTGTATAGTCATAGAGTTGAAAATGAAGAAATTAATAAAACTGTTATCCAGCAAGATAGCCTCAATAAAACATACTCTGGGTAGGTACATTATTTTGTAATGGAAACGAAATTGTAAATAAAATATAAATATAATGATGATTATACACTGTGATTTTAATTAATTTGTATGAGTAAAAGATATAGTATCAAGTATTCCACTCCTCATCCATTTATAGCACAAAGGCGGTACAAGTCAGAAAAAAAAGTTAAATCTTTACTGGACTTTTAGCGATATTACATTATACTAAGTTGCAAAAATTCTTGATTTTAAAAGCAACACTCACTAGTAAATACTCTCTCATTTTCATTAAATTATTTTTTGTTAATATATTCTTTAATTGCCCTTTAATTTTGATTTGGATGCGAAGAAATCACAGTGTATTTTTATGTGCAAAACAAAGTGATGCATAATATTTTTTTGTTCTTTTATATTATAAACATTGTATAACAATTTTAGAAATATTTCTGTTGACATTAATACAATAATAGTATTCTCTGTAAATATTTGTCTATTTTTACCAAAGTATATTTTGAAGTAATTTATTTTATAGTAAGTTTTACACTTAGGTACATAAAACAATACAATATTGTTGACAGTATTTCATTATAGATTTATGATTTAAGTAAATATTTACGTGCAGTGCATTTAAAGTGTCTAGTCTACTTGCATGTTTATTAAATTAAGTAGCCCCTGAGTTTTTAGACATAGGTACTACCGTACACATTATTTGGTAATTATTAGACTTTAAGAGATTTTTATATAAACCTCCAAAAATGTGCCTTATACATGTGCCTTATTTGTCAATAGATAAGAGTTTAAAATCCACAAAAGATTAAATTTTCTCAAATGGACTATTTCTGGGTATAACTATTGAGGGTTTTATTAAATTGGACTTTTTTCAGGTGAAATTAAGTAGGTATAATACCTAACTGTTTAATAGAGCACCTGTGAGTAAATATAAATTAAATGACGATGTATTGACATGCAACAAAATGCATTTTACCACCAAATGTTTTGTACTTAATTTTAGTTGTATATTCGTCTTGGAAAAAAACACTAATGTTGATAATTTGTATTCAATTATTAATAACAATGTAAAATATTTACATCATAATAATGTAATTTTTTTTATAAGTTATGAAAGTTATGTTATTACTTTTATAATAAGCGAAGCTTATGGTAGGAAAAATTCAATGAATTGAGATAAAATAATACAGAAAATTTTTAGGTATAAAAGTTTCAACATTTAGAATAAAAAACAAATATATGTCGTGTGATACAAATTATGCATTAGTGTAAAATTATTTTTAGATAGTATTTTTGTAAATATATAAATCGTATTACCAATAATAATTATTGACCTTGTATTGGGTTAGACTTCCTATTAGTTTCGACATGGTGAATGTGTCGTCAAAAATATACATTAGCTATATTGTATACCTTATTAATTTGGTGTCGAATATGAATTTAATGTATTTGTTTGTATATATGATTTTTATATACTTACTCGAGCGAGGTTTGTAAGTTCTGTGCAAATAAATCGTTGGATGAGTACGAATTGATTTTAATTATTTTTATAGCGTATACCTAAAATATTAAATGGAAGTATTATAAGGGGAGGCGGGCTATGTCTTCCTTTTTTCGATTACGCCACGCCCATTATCGGATCCCAAGCCTTCCTCTGAGAAGATCGCCGACGACCCACGCCTACTACCGGATCCCAAGCCTTCCTCTGCGAAGATCACCTACGACCCACGCCCATTACCGGATCCCAAGCCTTCCTCTGAGATCGCCGACGACCCAAGCCCATTACCGGATCCCAAGTTTTCCTCTGAGAAGATCGCCGACGACCCAAGCCCATTACCGGATCCCAAGTTTTCCTCTGAGAAGATCACCTACGACCCACGCCCATTACCGGATCCCAAGCCTTCCTCTGAGATCGCCGACGACCCAAGCCCATTACCGGATCCCAAGTTTTCCTCTGAGAAGATCGCCGACGACCCACGCCCATTACCGGATCCCAAGCCTTCCTCTGCGAAGATCGCCTACGACCCACGCCCATTACCGGGTCCCAACCCTTCCTCTGAGAAGATCGCCTACGACCCACGCCCATTACCGGATCCCAAGCCTTCCTCTGAGATCGCCGACGACCCAAGCCCATTACCGGATCCCAAGTTTTCCTCTGAGAAGATCGCCGACGACCCACGCCCATTACCGGATCCCAAGTCTTCCTCTGAGAAGATCGCCGACGACCCACGCCTACTACCGGATCCCAAGCCTTCCTCTGCGAAGATCACCTACGACCCACGCCCATTACCGGATCCCAAGCCTTCCTCTGAGATCGCCGACGACCCAAGCCCATTACCGGATCCCAAGTTTTCCTCTGAGAAGATCGCCGACGACCCACGCCCATTACCGGATCCCAAGTCTTCCTCTGAGAAGATCGCCGACGACCCACGCCCATTACCGGATCCCAAGTCTTCCTCTGAGAAGATCGCCGACGACCCACGCCCATTACCGGATCCCAAGTCTTCCTCTGAGAAGATCGCCGACGACCCACGCCCATTACCGGATCCCAAGTCTTCCTCTGCGAAGATCGCCTACGACCCACGCCCATTACCGGATCCCAAGCCTTCCTCTGCGAAGATCGCCGACGACCCACGCCCATTACCGGATCCCAAGCCTTCCGCTGAGAAGATCGCCGACGACCCACGCTCACTATCGTATCCCAAGCCTTCCTCTGAGAAGATCGCCGACGACCCACGCCCATTACCGGATCCCAAGTCTTCCTCTGAGAAGATCGCCGACGACCCACGCCCATTACCCGAATCCCAAGTCTTCCTCTGCGAAGATCGCCTACGACCCACGCCCATTACCGGATCCCAAGCCTTCCTTTGCGAAGATCGCCGACGACCCACGCCTACTACCGGATCCCAAGCCTTCCTCAGCGAAGATCGTCTACGACCCACGCCCATTACCGGATTCCAAGCCTTCCTCTGAGAAGATCGCCGACGACCCACGCCCATTACCGGATCCCAAGCCTTCCGCTGAGAGGATCGCCGACGACCCACGCTCACTATCGTATCCCAAGCCTTCCTCTGAGAAGATCGCTGACGACCCACGCCCATTACCGGATTCCAAGCTTTCCTCTGAGAAGATCGCTGACGACCCACTCCCATTACACTACTACATTCTGCACACCCCACATTTCACACACCCACACTTCTCCTTTTCTCCCAATTTTTTTTGGTAAATATTGATTTTTTAAAGATTGTACATATCTTTTTTACCTATTTATTATTTTGTCGCTACACGACAGAATTGGCGCCCAAACGTTGAAATGGTTACATTAGATATCGTTGAAATTGTGCGTTTCTAGGATACGTGGCACTGGTGGGTCTAAGTAATTGATAATACATAGTGACAGATTGCCTGTCTAAAGTTTACAACAGTTTCCGTACACGCTATGATTTTGGATGGGTTTTGCAGTAGAAAGATTTTTTTTTATAGATAAGTCCGACACATGACCCTACCCCACCTGATGTTAAGTAACGGTGAAGTCTAGACGCGAAGATAGCTGATACAGCAGTTCTACCTGCCACACCAGCAGAGATGTGCAAAATAGGTTATAAAATGTATTTAAATGCAAAATGCAACTCCACCAAAGTGTAAAAATGTAACTTTTTGTATTTTGTTATTTCAAATACAAAATAGTTTATCATTTTATATTTAAAATACTAAGTGCAAATACGTATTTACAAAATGTTTTATTAAAATAAAATAAATCTTTATTTTGTTGAAAAGTTTATTTATTTTAACCAGCTAACAGGCTGGTAAATTTACTTTGATAACTTAATTAAATTTTTACTTAACAGATTTTAATAAAATAATTTGCTCAAATACACTGTGACGCATCACACAGTTAAATCGGTATCATACATTTAGTAGTACGGTTAGAGTGAGAACGGTGTCGACACATCGCGACACACAAGTATAGTTCTAAAGTTCTAAATATATGAAACCTATACCTCTCTGACGCGTTACAACACAAAACGACATATAAGTGTAGTTCTGATATAAAATAAAGATGTGGTTTTTGGTTCTACTACACCAATGGTCAAGAGATGGCGCTGTAGTCTCCTGAATCGCGCTTTGGTTCCGTTGTTCCAGATTAATAAATACTTTTGATATTATAAATATGAATACCTATAACTGTTACTTTATTACAAAAAAATGGGTGCGTGTAGGTACTTATGTAGGCGCGTGAGAAGTTATCCTTCTTTGGCATCGTTTAAAATTAGTTTTTAATTGCATGCAAATAATTAATTACAATAAATTAATAAAAAGTCTGGAAAAGGACACAGTCAATAAAGTTCAGTTTTAATTTGAAAAAATAAATAAATAATCAAAATATTCAATTAAAATCGCTACTGAATATAATTTATTAGAACATATGTGATTTGCACTTGTATGAAACTCAAACACGTATTCCGAATATACAAACTAGAAACATGTGGATAAATATTATAAATATGAATACCTATAACTGTTACTTTATTACAAAAAATAAAGATGTGGTTTTTGGTTCTACTACACCAATGGTCAAGAGATGGCGCTGTAGTCTCCTGAATCGCGCTTTGGTTCCGTTGTTCCAGATTAATAAATACTTTTGATAGGCCTTCACAATGCAGTCGTTAGCACCTACTAAATAGAGATTCTATTTCTATTTTGTTGGTAGATTTTCTTAATGTGCGGTAAACACAAAAGTTTTAAAATTTTTGTGTTACAGTGATGCGCGCGCATCTTAAAATTTCACTCTCATCATTTTTTCATAACGCGCCTAAAGAAGTATAACTTCAAAAATAATAGAGGGGTTTGCCGAGGCCATAAATTATTGGCAGTAGAGTGCTATAATGACATAAATGAAAAAGCGCTATATTATCCACTAGGCGCTAAAAGTTTGAAATAGGCGCTAACCACACCAAAAATGCGCTAGATCGAACGAAAACTCACCGCACGGTAAGGTGACCAAATAATCCCTCATTCATACGAAAAGAGTCGATAATAAACGAAGCTGATCAGACCAAGTTACATAGTTTACTGTAACAAGATTGTAATTGTAACACATTTTTTTTAGCAACATTCACACCAATTAGTCTAGCCCCAATGTAAGCACTGTAAAGGCTTGTGTTATGGGATACTAGGGTAACGGATAGAATACATATATTGTACATATATAAGTTTATTTATATGAAATACATAATTAAACATCCATGACTGGAGTACAAATGCTCGTATTCATCACACAAACATCTGCCCCCACCGGGATTCGAACCCGGGACCTCTCGAGTCGGCAACGCCATGAAACCCGGCGGCGTAACCCACTCGGCCACGGAGGTCGTCATTATTCGATTTACAAAACTTAGCAAAAAGTATTTTGCATTTTGCAAATACAAAATATGTCCTAAATGGCATTTCAAATAAAATATAAAATGCTTTTTAAAAAAAAGTATTTAAATACAAAATGGAAATAGGTATTTTCCATTTTGTATTTTGCATTTTAAATACTTTTATTTTAAAAATGTCACATCTCTGCACACCAGCCATCCTCACCTTGCCGGCCTGCATGTTGCTTCTTTACGCCACTTAAAGGATCCCAGGTTGTAAGATGGAGGGAACGCGTGAGCTGGCAGAGCATTCCATTAAATTACATCATTAAATTTGATATTTCGTTTATTTGTATGAATATTTCGTAATACCATCAATCGCCTTGATCACTATACAAGTTGTCTTACAAAAGCTAAGCTAATAGCGACTACACATGCTGCTAAATAAATAATCTCTCAGATTTACTTTAGTTCGTATCCGTTTTCTTAATTAGGCATCTTAAAATAAAATCTAACATTTAAATATTTACAATATTCAAATAAAAACAAACGTTTTATTGAAACACTTTTTTGTTAATAGTTATTTTAAGGTCTTTTTTTATTAACTTCGTGTATTATTTTATTAAAATCGGTTTGCTTATTTAATTTTCATTTAGAGATTTATTTAACAGCGCGATAGTCTTGTACAGCATATATTATGATAATCTCAATCTTTCAAAGCAATTAATTGAAACTACATATTTTGACTAACTTTTAAACATAACTAAATACGGTCTTATGCATCAACAATAGTGTCTATTACAATATAATGATTTTGATATCAAAATTAACATTTATACTAATTAACAACTTAAATATTTTCTAAAATTATACATATATGTTTGTGATCACATAGTTAATCTTAAGTCTACATTCGAAACATAATACTTGTCGATTTCATTGGTTTTTGGTCATAATAATAGTTGTGCGTCATTGGTAGATAGTAGTAAGCTACCTAAATTATATAGTATAAAATGAAAAAACGCTTTTTGTAAAGATTATTTTCATTTTGTATAAAGTTTATTCTTATAAACTTTTATTTTGTTCCAATCACAAGTATTTAATACTCCAACAATAATTACAAGATAAAAAATATTATTATATCATTTATAGTATCAAATCTAGATTTTGTCATAAGATACGCGAAAAAAGGTTCTAATATACAGATTACATATTAGTCTCAAATATTCAGATATAAGTATTATTTACATAAATTTGTATTGACAACCTAAAGAAAAATATTGTATTCTTATTTCTGAAGGAAAGTTGCTTTATAACCGAAGCTCATAAAAACATCATGTTCTTAAATATTTAAGTAGAAATGGAGATGCACGTCGAAATTCAAATGGCGGTTATGAATTTTAGTCATAGTCAAATTTACGTTACACCGTTTGTCTGACCCTGTAAAGTTACAATAAAATACATAATCTATAATCATACTTATTTTGGGAGTCTATCCACTGAACAATATGTGGTAGGTTGAATATAATATAATAAGGTATGTTGAATCGCCTATTAAAAAATTATCCATTCATCGTCACGGTCTATAAAGATACACTAACCATTAACAAAAAGATTTGCCGGACATTGAAGACTCAGATCGGCACTTGTCTTTGGCATCAAAAACCTCCGCTTATTAGTTAGGAATTCTTCATTCGTCATCACAGCAACATTTTACAAATTCAAACTCAATGAAATCCATATCACATATTCACGCATCGCAACTTCTTCTCTGGCACTCTTGAGGCAAATTGAAAGTTGGGTACGACGGCTTTAGCCTCCTGTTTATCTTCCCTCGGCGTTTCTTCTGCTGGTTCACCCATGAGGCTTCTCAAGCACACCTTCATGTCGGCCGCGAATTTCCTGACAAGCCTTTCTAACGAGAACAGATGCTCGTCTAATGCTTCAGGAACCTCTTCTCTCATGAAATCAGCTAGTCTTAGTAGATATTCTACGTTAGGCCCGGACGCGCCACGGCATTCTAGAATTTGTTTAGCTATTTCTGGTAACGGTGCAGAACCCAACCAATGCCTGTTACCAGGGACAGCAATGTAGAGTAAAGCGTCTTTCTTCTCTGTTGTACTGATGCTAGTGTTGTAAGAACTGGTTTGGAAGAAGGAGGGACGCGGGTGGAAGTTCACTGTGTAAGTTCTGTACCCTCCGAGCTGGCATTCTCTGGTGGAGAGATACGGTAAAGCGGCTTTGTCCTCTGCTGCTACCAGGAACGCCTTACCCCATGTGATACCCTGAAAAGAAGAGAAACTAAATGTTAGTTATGTTTTTATTTTTTTTAAGCATTTAACTGCTAGATGTTTAAATCTAAAGAAAAGTTTTATTAGAATAAAATCCACGCGGACCAGGCAGCGGACGGGACTCGAACACGCACTCTTCGCAATCCGGGCGAATGCACTGACCAATTATGCTACCGCGGCCCTGATGGCCGCGTTGAAATTCTTCTAGCTATCTCTCATATAATAATATATAATGCACTCATCGGTGCATTCGCCCGGATTGCGAAGAGTGAGGGTTCGAGTCCCGTCCGCTGCCTGGTCCGCGTGGATTTTTTTCTAGTAAAACTTTTCTTTAGTACTAAATGTTGGTTATTATCTAAAAGGATATTAACTAAAAGGAGGACTCTTAATGCATATTCGGTATAGTCATGACACTATACCGAATATGCAATAAGAATAGCTTTTCTCAGAAGGCTTATGAAGGCTTCATAAGAACAGAAACTATAGTCTACACCGCAGCTGTATGAGAGCCGATCATTAATCCAATAAAATAATTGAATTTTTGGATATCCAGGGAGATGAATTTGATATAAGTATGGTATAAATATGAGTTAAAAATTGAGATATCGAAATTTGGCAGAGAAATTTTGCTTAAAACCCAATTAAAGTAAAAAATGTAAATGTTTCCATTTATTTTTGTTTACAACAACTTTATTTTACACTACAAGTATTTAGCGAATGATTAAAGTCATTTATAAAGTAAATGATGTAGATCTTTTACTTATTCAAATGTGGTGTAGAACTAAGTAATTGATAAAGCTGATCTAATTTTTTATCATAATCCTTGTCTTATAACATTAATTATAACAAGACAAGGATTATGTATCATGAAAGTTCATGTAAATAACTCAATACAAACTAGCCGATAATGGCAACGTCATTAATTTCTGTTTGTTGAAGAAAGAAAATATAATTAGCGTTGTTTAATTGTTTACATGAAAATAAGCAAACATTAATTGTTATTGTTAAAAGTTCAGACAAACAACTGTTGTTTAAGTTTTAAAATTAGTTTCGTTGATAACTTAGATAATTTGAGGAAACTTGTGTCTTGTTTGTTATTACAGTAGGTATATTGATCTCAACATTAAATAATATTATTCCTTTAATAGCGTTTTCTTTTATCGGTCATTGTATTTAGATTTTGATTTTGTTTAACATGTTACATAAGAAATGAGTGAAATACAAAATAAAAAATTAACTCTTTCTAAACATTATTTTAATAAGCATTAACATTGTATTATTACCATCATATTTAAATACTTTTGTGGCGGCGACATCTATATGCCCCACATACCTACATACAACGGATGGAGGAAATCATTACTCACCATCCTCAAGAGATGGCGTTACCTGCACTGCGATCATGAAATAGTATGGAAGCCTACATCGCGCAAATGAAATTCGGAAGCTAATTCTTCATATATACGATGCCCGACCAACAACAGTCGGATTTCCTCCATCCGTTGTATATATGTGGGGCATATAGATATCGCCGCCACACTTTTATGGCGGATCATCATTTAAAAACGGCACAATCAATTTCGCTGGTTGGTATAATAGTAGTAAGTATAAGAAATTTGTAGGACGAAGTGAACGCGATAGATATTTATAATTTTTATTATTTAAGCATGTAACTGCTTATAATGTTCAAATCTAAAGGAAATATAACTAGAAAAAAAAAATGACTTTGTGTTTTACCTACAATGCGGAGAGATGGCGCTGCCTTGCAGAAAGGCTAGAAAGAATTCGATACAGCCATCAGGGCCGCGGTAGCATAATGGTCAGTGCATTCGCCCGGATAGCGAAGGGTGCGGGTTTGAGTCTCGTCTGCTGCCTGGTCCGCGTGGAATGTTTTCTAGTCATATTTTCTTTATGATAGATATTTTTGGCAATATAAGAGACACCACGAAACTGTTAGAAAATTTGGATAGTCTTTTGGTTTCAAGATTTTGGCAGTAAATTGCAACTGGTCGGCGGCTCCTATAAATGTATGTTGTAAGAACATACATATATGGACAAAAACATATTAAAACTTGATAAAGTTCAAACAGTAAAGTGAACCGGCTAAGACCAATCAAATGACCTTTTCTATAATTAAGATAACGTAAAGTTCCCAGTTCTAAGGTTATTTATTGTGAATCCATTATTTATAATAATATTATCCCTTTTTTATCGTTTCGTTTTATCGGTCAATGAGTTATTTACAAATACTGTTTAACCGCATAGCCTAATCTCCTCAACGGTTCCTGTAGTTAGGGGAACATTCCCAAACAATAGTGTTTACGGAGAATATTTTAGTTCCAACTTTTTTCAAAATATGGTAAAATGGGGTAAGAAATATCAGACTTGAGGAGTTTCGAGCTATCTTAAAAGGTGCATTTGAAATACGACGATTTCAAAGGTTGAATACATTTTTATTATTAATTGTTGAAGCGGCAATACAAACATAAAAATGAAAATTTCAACTGTCTCCATATTTATAATTTTTATTTTTTAAGCATGTAACTGCTTGATGTTTAAATCTAAAGAAAAATGACTAGAAAAAATTCCACGCGGACCAGGCAGCAGACGGGACTCGAACCCACACCCTTCGCTATCCGGGCGAATGCACTGACCAATTATGCTACCGCGGCACTGATGGCCGCGTCGAAATTGTTCCAGCCATTCTCAAGCTACAAGGCAACGCCATCTCTTCGCATTATAGGTAACCCACAATGTCAAATGAATACTTTTACAAGTATTAAACATTTGAAAGAAATAGCAATTATAGTTTTTATTTTTATGCAGGTAGCATAATTGGTCAGTGCATTCACCCGGATAGCGAAGGATGCGGGTTCGAGTCCCGTCTGCTGCCTGGTTCGCGTGGAATTTTTTCTAGTTATATTTTCTTTGTATCTCCATATTCTTTAGATTATTAGATTAAGACACTGGAGACTTGGTAGTTAATACTTAACAAGTTTCATTGTTGAGACTTGTTACTCTTTTTGTATGGATCTGTAAAAAATGGTTCTCGAAAAAAGAAATAACTAGTTCTTTCGTAATTGATAGGAAATGAATTGAGTGTTTAAAAAAATCTAAAGTAAACCTACGTCATTCCTTTATACAACACAGAAGAGGTAATTAATAGTTGAACACCTTAGCTTCCCAGCAATTTCAAAGTCAATTTGCAGTGACAAAGGAAGGCGATGTTTCAGATGATTCCAAATGTAAAAACATTAGCTTGTGTTGTTGAAAAATAAAACACTTAATTCGAAAACGAAGGTTTGTATAAAGGCGTTGAATAAGAACATTGTTTGTAAATTTTTTGTTTAATTCAATTTGTATGTTTAACGAATAGTAGAAAAAATGGCATACAGCCGGACGATTTCGTAGATAGGTCCGACAAATGACTTCACTTCTTCTTCTTGTCGCTCTTATTCCACCTTCCCCTTTCCTTCTGGGGACCACACGCGCTGACCTGTGTTGTCACCGTCTAACTGTGGCCACAATTCCAACGCGTACAAAGAAATTTGGAGACTCATTTCTTTGTCGCACTATCCGTAAAGGGAATACTCTGCCTGCTCAAGTGTTCCCCCCTTCTTACAACCTGGGATCCTTTAAAAGAGGCGTGAAGCAGCAACATGCAGGCCGGCTAGGTGAAGATGGCTGGTGTGGCAGGTAGAACTGCTGTACCAGCTATTTTTACGTCTGGACTTCACCGTCACTTAACATCAGGTGGGATGGAGTCAATCGTCGGACCTATCTATATAAAAAATACCGAGAAGATATGTTACACGGTGCCCTATACAATTGACCATATGTATATGGACATAATAATGTTAGCAATTACAACATTTATTGTTATTTATGAACAAAGAACAGTATTTCAAATACGATGACACAGTTAAAACGAAACGAAATCTGAATATCGTAGACAATATTCGAACATCTGTGGACGGGCTGATCTGTGGACGGAATAATCTGAGATGATTGCTTGAGAAAAGTGCGTAATAGTTGAAAGCGAAAAGATAAATATGGTATAAAGTATTTTGTAATGTGAATTGTACAGTTATAGTAAAGAAAAAAAGTGAGAACCCTTGAGAGTTGTTTCATTTTTAATAATAATAATATAAATAAAACTTCTCTATCCAAGTTAATAACGATGAATAGCATTGGACAATTCCTATACAATAACGTATTGTAAAAACATAAGCGTTCGCCATGTTTATTTTCATTCTGTTCCGGTTTAAACAACAACAATAGCGACCCATTGACCTGCGCCTGCGTCTGCTGCCACGATAACAGCCAGAGCACTATGGCAGAACTATGACACAAAGGGAATAACAACCATTCACAGACTTCGCATGTTTGATAATAAGTTTAACTTAACTTCAACGATCGTAGCCGAACGCGCTTGCGCCATCGAGTTGTTATAAGGTATTGCATTTATAAGGATAAGGGGAAGACCTGTGCGTTATTGACGTGACAACGTCTTAAATTAGGTTGCGGCTGGGAGTCACTTATGAAAAAGTGTAACGCTCGGTAACGTTACGATGAGTCTCTCGTGTTAAGTTTAAGTTTACATGTACAATGTTTTAGTAAACAAAATATATTTCTATAGTTAAAATTTGTGCAATTCTTATTTTCATTCAATTCCTTGTTCCTATTGTGCAATTTAATTATATGCATATCAATAAATATTCTACCGAGAAAAAGACGTTGTCACGTAAAATCTTCGCCCGTAAAACCGACTTTACAGGCAACCATTTTTTTGTTTTAATGTGTCTGCTGTTGGTCGCAGATGACCTTTACAGCGTCACCGGGTTTGGGGACGGCGAGATTCTAAGGGGACCTCAAACCGAGAATTGGCGAGTGTCTCTAGAGAGGGAGGAGTCTCCTCTCCGTCTGGAGCCTCTAGGCTTCGAGAGGACTAGAGGTTCGAGAACCTGAGGGGGTCAGCTCAACTAGAGGGCGTA